CTGCAAAAAATACTCATTGGCGTTTTCGGTAAAGTCGCATATGAAGAAATAAAATAAAATAAATAAAATCACGACGTTTCGAACGCACCACAAGTGCTCATCAGGTGGAAATGGGGTAAAACACAGCGAGGGAACACACAGGGGGACACCAGGTACATAGCAACTAAGAGAACGGCAAACTGCATGGAGGCAAATACAGCAAGATGGAAGACGAGACCTCAACAAACCTTAGAATCATGTGATCCAAACCAGTGCGCCAACAACAGTTAGACACTAACATGGTTGACCACGTATTTCAAGACTGCTAAATTTTTGTGTTCATCTTGTGCTGAACATACGCTGCACGTGTAGGTCTCTTGGTGTGGTGTTGCTCTGGTTGTCCCTCTGGGCTGCCCAAAACATATTTCCCTGTGTCTTCTCTGTATATGTACTTCGTGTCTGTTCACGAGTCCTTGTCCTCTGTTTTACGTTGGTATGTTCAGCCCAGATGAACAAAAAATGTAGCAGTCTTTTGAAATACGTGGTTAACCAGGTTAGTGTATTGTTGGCCGACTGGTTTGCATCACATTATGATTCTAAGGTTTGTCGAGTTATCGTCTCCCATCTCCTTGCTGTATTTGCTTCCATGCCGTTCTGTGTTATGTACGTGGTGTCCCCGTGTTCCCTCGCTGTTTTACCCCATTTCCAACTGATGAGCGCTTGTGTTGCGTTCGAAACGTCATTATTTATTTAAATTTTATTTATTTAGAAAGCTAGTTTCCCAGGTGAACGCAACAAGTTGACCTTTGATCATTGCAACAGCCACAGGTAACAGCTATTGAACATTACACAATGTAGAAATTCAAAGTGCATGGATCTTTGTTCACAAAAAAATGCATCAACTTAACACTCTTGCATAAAGCAGTGCCTTTATTATTTTATAAACCATTTAAGATAAACACTAGTGGCATCCAGCATGCATTTGTTAATCCTGCAGTAGTTCCAATACAAAATTTTATTTTCCTTTTAAAAATACCCTCTTTTTTTGGCAGAATTGTAAATCCAAAACAGTTTTTCACCATTTTGCCTATTTTCTGTATTTAAAGTTGACGTACAAGATTTTTAATAAAATATTGAACTTTGGGTTCAATAAACAAATAAAAACAAGAGCCATCTCCACTTTATGCCTCAGTGGTATTTTTATTATTTTGAGTGTTAAGGATGCAGCAACAGCACTGGATAATGATCCACACACTTAAGTCTCAAAAGGCTGAAACTGCCTTCAATGCACACATTCATTAGCTCTATTAGATGCAACCTTCATCTCTGCATTAACAGGTCGGATATGGAAATGTACAAAATCTTCACGAAGGTGAAACAAAAGCATCATAAACTTGCTTATTGCCAATCAGTATATGCTATACCAGGATGTCCTGGACACAGCTTATAGCTGTGGATGTTGACAATTACATTTTATTGCCTTGTCATGACCAACATTTTTACGACGTCTTAAGTCACGCAATGGGTGTACAAATAAATAACACAGCTATGTTGCATGCTGTTGAGTGCCGTAACTGTACATTTTTTTTGCACAAATCCTCACCAATATTCTATCATACTTCAGACATTTGTACAGTATTTTGAATCTATTGCAGTCATCTATCCATTCTCGATAAGCACCAGTCTTATATTAGTTGTTCATATGCCCTTAAAAGCTCAATAATTGGCGCTGTTTATAAAGCGGTCAATATGCTCGTATTTACGAAACACGTGGGAGGTGGGGTTTTTTTTTCAACGTATCTCTTAAAACACTTAAACAGCTGGTGATTTTACACTTTTAGATTACCATTAAATACAGAATACATTTCCTGAAGGCTGTTTATTTTCACGCGTGTTACTAGCAGGTACGAGAGTTACTCAAAAGTATCACCAGCATAAAGGTGGGTCCACAAGCAGGCAAAAGTCCAGCAGAATAACGATGCTAGAAATTTCAGGGCTGCACTTAGCCAGCCCCACGCTGATAAAGGCTTTTCAGTGGGGCAAAGGCATGCCTGCAGGATATAACAGCTAGACAAAGACCACTATTCTGACGCAGTCATGCATGCCCAAACATGTTATGACACGTCCACGTCTGGCCTCAATTAGGCCTCCCTTTAACATTCATGCACATTTTAAACTGAAGATCTGCGATTGGAGAAGGATGCAGCCACTCCGGACAGCACTGCACCAACCCCCCACTCCAGTACGTTGTTCATTAACTTGGGCAACTGGTTGGGGGGGGGGGGAATTACTCTAGAAACGTGTCCAAATTGCACAATTCCACCACAGGGTGTTGCACAAGAGAACAATTTTGGAGGTTACCGCTGCTCTTGCTACTACACAAGCGATTTAAGCTGCCTTCCTGGCTAGGCGCTGGAATTAACCCATGTGTGCCTGTCGGCAGAAAAAGAATAGTCCAAGTGCACAAAAAGAAACAAAACATTTTTGCCGTGAAATGGCTGCCATAAAATGTTTAAAACCTGAAAAAGCATTACTCTATTGGCAGCCATGTGCTGACACTCGCATATCAAAGTGTTGGGAATAGTGGTACAGCAATGAGTATTTGGTTTTAAACACATATGCTACTTATGGACCAAGTATATTCTTCCTGTTTTTTTTCTCAGAAAAGTAAGCTATGCTTAAGTCTCAAACAATGTTAAAACTTAAAACACTGCTTGAAATTTTACTGCATGCTCTTTGTTGTTACTCAAAAAACACACACATGCTGCATGTTGTGTGTTTAAAAATAACCAATTTGCCAGGATGCACAACTGATGCAAGTGTCTCATTTACAATATAGTCCTGGTGGAAGTGTAATGTTGCAGCGGCCACAGAAAAAAGTGTCCACTTAAATTTCTCGACTAATATTAGCACAACAGCATGTGGGCACTCATACCGAAGGTTCATAGTCCGGGTCATCATCCTCTTCATCTCCCTCCTCCTCACCCTCCTGAGGAAACAATTTGTTTATTAAAATCACTCACAAATTACTCAATCAATATATAATGCATTGGGTGAATTGATGCCGCAGGAATGTATACTAACATACCTCTCCATCTTCTCCCTCTTCATCATACTGGAAAAGAGAAATCACAATTACTGAAATAGTTGATGGTTTTGCAAATACGTACAAAACCCATGGGGACGGACAAAAACTGAACACACTGCAGGGCATGCTAAAAAGTCACGCGATTACAAGTTTCAAAATAAAAATATATCGTACACGACAGCAAAAGTAATAGCAATTATTACGGCTGGAGGGCAGTAGTTTTTTTTATGTGGTAACACTGCAGAAATCAAGACCAGCTGTATTTTACCACACGATTTTACCAGCTATGGACCTGCACAAAGCTCACCTCGGGGAATTATTGCCCACTGTCATTGCCCCGTGTGAGCAATTGACGCGTGCGAGCATGCGCAAACTGCGACGCACTAAAAAAAGGGGCAACGCGCACTCACGTCATCCTCGTCCTCAATGGCCTCCCCAGTGAAGTAGAGCACCGCCCTGGGCACAATCCTCTCCCGGAAAAAGTGCCCAATCTCAAAATCTGTCGCGAGCTGTGTATCCGCCTCTTCGTCCTAGCCGCCGGGAATGGGGTGGTGGTGGTGAGGTTTGGGGGGGCAAAGGAAGGGAAAAAGACCGCAATATAACGCTCCGGCGCTTTTATTGACCGTCTCATCGATGGATGGATTGAGGCATTTTGTAAGTTGCTCAAACGGAAAGACATTCCCATACTGTAAAGCATCATTAAAAAGCAGTTACTCTCTTTGACGATTGTTTTAAATACAGCGAGTGGACATTTCAAGAATGCTCTCCCACGTAACAATACAACATTCAAGTAATATAAAACAAAAATATAAACCACTTATTTTACCGTAAACCTAAACGTCCAACCAATACACAGTAGACCTACGATTTGAAGTGCTTATACAGTGCTTTAAAGCTGTTTTACATTCCAACAGTCTGTATTTACTCCAAAAAAAACAAGCACACTGGTGTTTAACAAAAAATATTTCAAATGAACATCTTTTTTTCCTTTTGTCTTATTTAAAAGGGCCTGCTTTTCTTAAGCATTCATGAGCTCGGAAAAGTGGAGCTCTTTCGTCTAAATAAACGCCAAAAGAAGATGATTATTTTCCCAAAAACAATTTCAACATCGCTTTCCCGACAACTCTTTTGGTTTTCTGGCCCTGTGCATGTCAGCCATGAATCATCTGTAAACATTTGGGCGATTTAATGCTTGTATGGGTCTCGTGAGCAACGGCCGCAAATGCGTGCAACAAAGTAATAAGCCCTTGGTCCAGATGAGACTCTGCAGCAAACCCTTACTCGGGGCTAAATCTGTAGCAGATGTTTTTTCCCGTGACCACTTTACGCACACGATGCTAATTTACACACATGCAGGGAGGATTGTCAAGGCAACCAATTTATGAATCAAAATAACCTCGTGTCCGGGCCCATTAAGCAAACTCCGCATATAAATGGACAGTAATTAGTGCAAAATGTAGTGTCGATGCAGTGATATGCTGATATTTTCACAAGTTGCAAAAGTTTGTCAAGTTATACATGCAAAAGACCATTTCTTTGAATTTCACTCAGAATATGAATGTTATGTTCAAAGACCACCAGTTGGCCCCAACATAAAATCCGTCAGCCTTTCTTCCAACAAGCTATAACATGCCAAAATCTAAATATTTGATAACAAACGCAAAACCATCCATCAAAAATATGGTAAAACTTCCATTAATTCACACCGTTTTAATGCCAGTCTTAAGGCAAGATGAAGTATGTGTTAATTACCAAACTCACATTTAGGAATGTAAACAAAGCTGGTTTGAAACAAATTAAAATTATACAAAATAAAGTTCTAACAGCTAGCAAACCAATGCCTGCAGCTGCTTCATATGTGCTTGTTGGCTCAATGTGTTTATATATGAACGACTTAACTCGTTTCTTAACCATATTTCTGCTGTGAAGAGAGCATTGTTCATCACTTTAGAAAGAGCAAGGCTACTGATAAGTCTAGCCCTTCTTCAGAGGACAAGTTTGTTCTGGCACTGTAATGGAGCCCAAAGTGCAACCATAATGCACTACGGGTAACGATCAGTGCTCGCATGCTGCCTTCTGTAATCATGGCAATCTGATGTAAAAATATTCTCGCCAGACTTAAGTACTGCGGGGCAATTACTCTGTTGCAGACAGTTTTAAATTTCCAAGTTAATTTTAGCATCGCACTCTTTTGCAAAACGTTATTCGGGAACTCGCTAGACAGCGACTGCAGAACACACTTGTGCAGACTGACGACGAGGCCCAACAGCCTTCAAATTAACCTTATGGCGGGACCCCGGGGTCCCATAAGCCCCCAGCTCCTCGCATAAACTGCGTTGCGACGTCATTTTACGTCTGTTGAAGGCGAACGACACGGAATCTATTTCTCCTCGACGAGCTCTACACGATGCGCTAATCAAAAGTTTTGTTTCTTCTGCGCATTCATCCTCGCCGCTGCGCTTGGACGACATGACAGAATGATCTGCGCCAGGTGGGTCGCGGCATTTATGTGCGTGGTGACCACATGGCCAATACATTTTTCTGCATTATTTAATCAAACCATGACAATCAGCAGCAAATACCTTTCACGGTTCAAAGCGCTCACGAGTCGAAACTAATCATAAACAAACGTTGTTTGTGAAATTAATAATTTGACATGAAGGGCTAAAAAACAATAACATCAAGTGTCAATGTTAAAATGGTCATGTTTGATAAAAACGCACGATTTTCACTTGACAACTTCCCCCCCCCCCCTTTTAGGAATCACAGCTTTATTGGCCGAACCTAAAATGTTTCTAAACGTGGCTGTAACTTTCACATTTGTAACGTTACTGTGAAACATCAATATAAAAACGTTCCCAATTGCTTAAGTTGCTGACCTTGTGGAGAACCTAATAAACATAATGCTCACCATATACTCCGCCTTTGCAGTTAACATGATAGATAGCAGCTTTAATTGTAAAAATGTAGATAAAAAAGCTGCCTATACAGATAAACCTCCGGAGCACTGTATGCAAGCAGTGCTTTCCCTAAAGCCACATCTTGGTTCCGAGCACCGCTCGCCTGTGAAGTTGAACAAAGCCCTTTTATGCGTTGCTGGCACCTGGCTCTGCCAAAGGTGTGGGTGCATGACCAATGCCGCACCCTTGAGAAATAATTTGCCAATACCTTTTTTAATGCAGCATTATGGACAAACACACGCCTACATCACTATTTCACTCGCTGCCCGTTAGCAAATAGCATCAACAATGGTACCCGTAAACTCTTATAAACTTAAATTTGAAACGCTTGTATACATTGTATTTGTCAATGCAGACATCTTTAAAGCGATTATGGCTTGAAAGTAAAAATAAACAAATCTGTGCGAGAAGCCAAGATTAAAAATCACCTCTCTTGAAGCCCAATTTGAGGGAAATTCAATATTAAAACTAGCTTATAACCAAGGGGCCTGACAACATCGCTGAACGCTGCTTTGTGTTGTATTTATTTATGTACACGTTGAGCATCTTTCACACCGTATATTGCCAACCATGCTAAATCAGAGGTGCGGGGAATCACAACAAACTAACACAAAAAAAAGGAGTTATCAGAACTTAGATATCCAAGCTTTTATATTTAGGAAATTCAGATCTCAAAATACTGCTTACCTCAGGCCCATCTGAATCTTCAGGAGCTGCAACAGACACAAATAAATTATGGGTTGGGGGAGGTGTACATTAACATTCAATCGCAGTAATTTCCATTATAACTCCTCACAAACCCCACGAGACAATGAACATTTCTGGCGGTGTGAAACAAGCAATGGCAACAGCCAATGAGACTAAATTCAGATTAATGGTTCATTTCAGCAGCAATAACTGCCACACGAGATATTCTATCATGATAAAGTACCACCTTTAAATATGCAATAAAGATCAATTTGTCTGCACTTTAATGTTGGTAGCTACAATCTCAAAAACAAGCAGACTACATACATTTGAAATCCTTATATACATTATCCCCCCGTTTTTCAGACTTGCTATCAGCGATTTTGGCTATCCGCAAATCGCATCTGGAACTCTACAAGACTGCATTGAGATGAGATAGTAATGAGAGAATTTCACTAGAGAAAGCGATGACTTAAAGTGATGAGATAAATTAATTAAAGATAACGTAATGATAAGGAAAAGTTAATTTTGAAACAAATTCATTTTTTTAATGTATTTAATAGCTTAATCGTTTTTAGGCAATTCATTAAAAGATAAGTTTTCATAGGATAATATCATTTTTAACGAGCATCTACGGAACATATCCCTATCAAATAACGAGGAAACATTGTATATGTATGCCTGAATTACCTATCATTTTTTAAATTAGAAATTGTATTCTTATTTTAAATGATTAGTGTTATATTCCTGAACATTTAGGGCAGGAGTGGTGAGAGTGGTTAAAATGCAATATATGAACCTGGCAACCTAGATTTGGCTTGCCGTCACGGCCATCAGTGGGAAGTCATCTTAAAATCAGACCTGGTACCTCCACCAACTGATCAGCATGCTGTAGTACGGTCAAACAAACCTCAATGTCAACCGGGAGCATGCGGCTTTTTAAGGACTGCTTCGTGATGCTATTTATTAAGGACCACCAAATCATGTTGACATGCATTGCAGCTCTTGAAACAAGAGGGATTTTTTTTACTGGGGCTACTTTTGTTTGGTTAACAACCCCCTAATTTAGCAGAAACACACCAATGCCAAAACTAGTGATAAAACTTTGTATTGTAAATAAAAAAATCTCAATTTATTATTTACTAGCTGAACTACCCGGCTTCGCCCGGGACTTGGATTCACCACACCCGGTCGACCTAGGGGAGGCCCAGGACCGGTTGAAATAATCGTCACTGGTGGTGGCCGTGAGTGGGAATCGAACTCGGGTCACCGGGTTCGTAGCGCAGCACGCTAACCACTACACTACAATGCGTTACGCTTCCACATATGCAAGTCACGTTAAAGATTTGAAGTCCCAGCTCACTTGCCGTTCAAAAAATATATGCATTATTGAACTCCCCCCCCCCCCCTCCCAAAAAAAAAACCCAAGTGTATTTTCATAATTTTTGCATGGTGTACAGTCTGGAAAGTACCCACATGGCAAATATCAAGTTTGTTGCATGTCGGTAAGTACACTAAACATATTGAACAGACACATTCACAACTTTGCCTTTTATAGATATATGGAGATGTTAAATCATCTACGATTCGTGTTCAGGGAAGCTGTGACTAAATAGATCTTGTTTTGTAGATATGCTTTGAGCGTATTAATTTGGCCAAGGTAATTTTTTTTCAGTAATCATTTTTTTTTCAGATGTCTCACCAGAACCACGACAGTATTCTAGTCCCTTTCAAGTTATTTTTCTATTTCACAAAGCTTTCACATTTTATTTTACAGCCAAGGATGCACAAAAAAATACACACCTACGAGAGAGATTTGTTTTTGGGCTGCAGTGTTGCACATTCTACATCAACTTGGTAAAGGGCCAACTTTATAGGGAGGGCAGATCCGCTGGGATGACAAGGATAGACAGCACCGCCATGGGTTGTCCCCTGCTCTCAAGAGAGACGAGCTGTGTGGACAGCTCTGCCTGCATGTAATGATCAGCAGGAACTTTAATATGGCACTATGATGAAACCTAATGCACACGGGTCATTGCACACCAGGTCACTTTATAGTGCTGCTTGCAAGGGATGGATGCAGAATTGTGTCACATCAGCCTCTCCCCCCGTAAGACATGGTCAAATGGTGAAATATTAGAGCTGACAAATTCAGCGCATTTCAATTTACTGTAGCTTACAAGTGCAATCATGGTACAATTCAATGTACATTTGTTATGTTTAGTAAGATAATTTAAGTATTTACCATGTTACAAACGTATGAAAATGTACAAAAAATCCAGCCTTAATAGTATAAAGTTTTAGGAAAATGCTAGCCAGCCTTTAAAACTCTGCAATAATAATGTAGTCTGCATATATACATTTTGGTTAATCAAAACCAAATTTTCTGCAGATTTGGAAAACCTGTTCAAACATCATTTTAATTCAACATCTTTTCAATATGTAAAAAATTATCAATAATTATTCCAATACGAAAAATTAAAAGGCAGCACTTTTCCACCATGTGTTAATTAAATGCATCTGAAATTAGCGTTATTAACATAAAGCTAGCATCAAGGTTTCCTGCCCAATAAATACAATCTAACCGTCATAAAAATAGTATAATTGGTTTCTTTAGTGGCATATTTTAATCAGTTGCTTTGGATAAATTTTACATTCTTAAACTTTACTACCTCAGCAGATGGGCATTTTGGCTCTACAAAACTTCAGGAAAACAAGGCGTGTGCGTGGGCGCTTGGAAGCGTTCCACCAGGCTTCATTTCCTGTGCTGCTACACAATTCCTTACCACCCCCGCACTCACACACGCAGTACAAATTACGAGTTCGGCGCTTCACGTTTGGTCGTTAGCAACAAGGGGTTTACAGCTACTGTATGGCGATTCCCCCCCCCCCCCACAACGTGGAAGAAATTAGCGGTGTACAAGGCACTCGCACGATACACACACGGACTCGATAGGTGAGCAAAGTAAAAGTTAATTTCTACGAGCAAAAAAAAAACCCGTTGTGGATTAAGAGGTTGAATAAACTCAAGGAGAAACAGGGCCCAAAAAAAAAAGGAAAATTCCTCACTGCTGTAATATTTTTGCTAACTTCCCAACCCCTCCAAAAACAAACTCGGCTTTTTAAGATGGTTGTCCAGCTTCCAATGAGAGGGGGAAGGGGAAAGCATGAGGACACGAAGGGGGAAAAACTGGGCAGGTTTTGCCTACAGGCCTGTTTTTGAAGGGATTTGCAAAATATAAACTTTTCTTTTTAAATGCAGAAAGTTTCGTTTTTAATTTGGCCAAAACCAGTAGAAATATCTAATTTCCAACTTGGAAAGTAATTTAGCTTATTTGGCAGCGGCACAAATAAAGCCTAAACAGACGAGTCTGATAATGCAACTTTAATTAGGCTTTGTGGTACCAGGCATGTTCA